ACTGTGTGGAAATTCCGAACGATTACTTGAGGTACTCTCAATACGAATTATGTAACTAGTTTAGTTATATAATTCTACTGGTTCCTCGCTCTGTTACCGTTGCTTCTGTGATAGGCGTTTGTTGTGGTTGTTCCACGAAGAGTAATCCGGCCTTATCGAACAAGTGATAATGCTGATAGTGTGTGAGATTACGTATCACATGTCGCTTCCTGAACACGTAATGCTTGATCGACATTGGCTCAATGAGACTCTAAGTGTAGAGACTAGCACTATAAACAATTTAAAATTTCTCAAAAAGCAATGGCGACATCTCTCGAATTATCGCTGTAAAACGATATTCGGAAATGTCTGCATGCTGAAAAGGATATAACAATGCGCCAAGCATTGCTTCAAATGCTTAAAATGTAGACAAGAGACGTTAAGATTTTCGTCGGTATGGCAATCAGCCGTTTAGCTTAGTGGCTAAAGCGTCGGGCCGCGAACGCCGTAGACTTGGGTTCGATTCCCACAGCGGCGACGATCTTTTCGTACTTTTTCTACAAATTTTAATTTTAATCAATGAGACCGTTTTTTTTTTTAATGAGAGAAGGTGGCGGCAAACGAGCTGGTGATTCGCCTGATGTGAAGTCATAACCGTCGCCCATTGACATTTGCAACACCCGTAGGATTGCGGATTGGGAGTGAGGCGTATTTATCGTAACAGGTAAATATAACAGGTATCTCGAGATAGCAGGCTGTACCTGTTACGAACTAACTTAAATAACAGTTCCCGTTGTGTGGAACAGGAACTGTGCCTTAACACGCTGTCACAAACTTTTCTTTATTCATGCTTACGATTGTTACTTTAGTAAGAGATAAAAACTGTTACATCTTGTCACAATTGTTACTAAACATAGTCACTGTTACAAGCTCTTTCTTTTTCTTGCATCGGTCTTAGAGATTTGTTAGAAAGAGAAGTACGAACTTTACCATAGAGTAAAATACTGTATCAGCTGTTACTATGGTAACAGTTGAAATAACAGGCTGTTATTATGTAATAGGTATTTGTCACGGTTAGTTTTAGATAACAGGTGTAGGCGTGACAGGCTCTACGATTTAACCTAGTATAGCTCATTCCTATTGCAGATGCGTTGCCACCTTTTAACAAAGTGGGCCCCCAGCTACATCACTAACCAGGCGGAACGCAGAAGTAGGACACTTCCAGTTCACGCCGGTCTTGTGTGATGTCGTGGTATTTCAGGGACACGACAGACCTGCCCATTCTTGGGATAGCGAAGACTGTTCAGTGCAACAGATCTTCTATGTCTATGTGGTCGTTGGCATTTACTACCCAACCTATTCTACACATACTAACCATTTTTTTTAAAAACGAAAACTAAAACCGACTTCAAATATCTCCCTCTCTATTCATTTTATAATTGATTTCCCTAGGTATCTCTGGAACCCAATATCCAATACCAATGAAATTAATACGGGACAACACGGGAAGCACCAGCGTTCAAATAAAAAAAGAATCATCAAATTCGGTTCTTTCACTCAGTGAAATGTTCTGAGGTAATAAACATAAAAATAAATACAGTCGAATTGAGAACCCCCTCCTTTTGTAGTCGGTTAAAACACGATGCTGTGCGTAGGTACGAAATTCATTTTTAATTTAGAACTGGCCAGCACTTGACTGCCATCAATTCAGCTATAAATGCTTATTGAGGAATGGTATTACATTGCGTAGTGTTGTGATAAAAGTCACCTCAACCTTCGTACAAAACGCCGCTATCATTGCACACTACATGTTTACTCGTAAACATTAACAAAGTAAATACTAAATTAAATACAAATAGTACTTTGGGAGTAACACTTCTTTTGGTGCGTTTGCAAAAAAAATTGCGAGTAAAATTTTTACGGTGCGAGCGCACACCGACGGCTAAAAGGCGACATGATGAAGTTTTTTTTTTTATGTGAAAAGTTGCCAAACGAGCAGACGGTTCACCTGATGTTAAGTGAATACCGCCGCCCACGGACATCTGTTACACCCGAGGGTTACAGATGCGTTGACAACCTTTTGAAAATTGGGCTCCGGCTACCTCACACACCGGACGAAACGCGAAAGTATTTGTCATACTTCCACTTTACGCTGGCCTGCTGTGGGGTCGTGGTTACCCGGACGGGCCTGCCCATTCGTGCAACAGCCGAGGCTGCCGCGTGGCCCTACCACCGTAAAAAGTTTGTAGCAAAGCGACCAACTTCACCACGGCAAACCGATAACAACTTTTTACATTTACCTATAACCTCAATTTATACAAACTGTTGGCCGAAAAAGGAGCCGAGAAGGCGCGTTAAATGTTCCAGCGTGCGGCGACGATGTATACGCATTTACAACAAAATCCCAGAAAACGTTCACTTGTATCTTGTATTAACTGATGTTTTTGCTTTCAGTCCCGAGACTATTAAAGCTTCATCTGACGCAGAACCGGTGGGCTAGCCAGAACCCACGGGTTTGGGACCCACGGGTTTGGGTTCACAATGTATCGGGTGCTATATTCAAAAAACGTTTGTGCGTTAAAGGCTATCATTATCATCAGTATTAGTGTTTATTTGAATGATAACACACTGGAAATTAATCGATCGCTCCAGGCTCTTTCTAATGGATGTGTATAAGTATGGACGCAGTGTACGCGTTTGTCCGGCCATCAGACTTGGACTTAAAACCCTTTGTGGGAGACATAGGGCAGAGGGCGTCCACAGTCTTTTTTTTTTTTTTTTTTTTTTTTTTAAAACATTGCCCTTACTATAGGACAAATTTATCCTGTGTTGCAAGGGCGTTTTACAAACATAAATTTCACGCGGGCAAACACCCAGATGCGAAACAACTATCTGTGGGTCACACAAATAGTTGTCCCGTGTGGGGATCGAACCCACGGCCCCCGACGCCGAAGCCAATACCTTGGCAACTGCGCCACGGAGTCATCAAAGTCAGTAAATCGCCATCGCAACTATCTCGCTCTTCACTTGACCTGGCTCCACGTCAGTCCGATGCTCGATGCTTCAGGCAATACTGCAGTGCGACGTCAGGTTTGCCGGGGACGGCCCCGCCTTCGTTTCCCTTGAGGGTTCCATTCCAGCGCTCGTTTAGGTGTGTGATCGGATCGTGAACGGACCATTTCCACTTGCGACGCTTGTTCTGTCTATATATAAATACGCGCGTTGGTGCGGTAATTTTAATGCAGATTGCGTTCAAAGCAGAATTGATCGCACTAAATATTTATTTATACACCACCTCTCGAGCGTCAATCCGTATATGAGAGGACGTTCACGACCATGTATAGCAAGGGTGGCTAGAATACAATGTCAGTGGATAGTCTTTTATTAAGGAGCAGTGATAGTAAAGTTTTTGGCTTCCGTACGCAAAGGGTAAAACGGGACCCAATTACTGCGACCCCACTGTCTATCTGTCTATTTGTCCGTCTGTCACCAGGCTGTATTTCATGAACCGTGATAGTTAGACAGTTGGAATTTTCACAGGAGACTTCTGTCGCCGCTATAACAATAAATAACTAAAAAACAGAAAAAATGTTTAAGCAGGGCTCGCATACATCAGGGACGATATTTTTTTTGCCGTTATTATAAATGGTACAGAACCCTCCGTGCGTGAGTCCGAATTGCACTTGGCCGGTATTTAGCTCTTTCACTGGGAACATCTTTAATGCTGCACCTCTAAAAATAATTTCGATGAAGTATTCGAGGAAATTTAGCGCGTTGGCCAGAAATAGTACGATACAAAATACATTTGTATAAAAAACCTATGTGATTATTTATGTACGCACACACTGGAGCGTAACAAAAGAAAAACATTTAAATTTAATGTTTTTTATTGTGCTAATCTCTGCACTTACGAAAAGATTGTCGAAGACGCGGGTTCGATTCCCACAGCGGCGACAATCTTTTCGTACTTTTTCTACAAGTTTTAAAAGAAAAACAACTAAAAATTTTACCCCCCAGTACCTACTCTATTTTTGTTAAAAAACAAATTAAAAGCAATTCATTTTATCAACCGTCACACGGTCTAATTAAATAAATTTGGAACTAAAATTGGTAAACATCAAAAACGAACACGATTACAACCTATTTTTTACGGATTTTGTCGCGTCTCAAAATGTAAATATTGTAACGCGATAACGAAATCGGTAAGATAATGTTATTTGATCGTGTCAAACAGTTGTTATTGGTTGCCAAGGTGATACTGTGAAGTCGATAGCAAAGGCGACTGCTCTGCAACAAGTTGATGTCACTTTTTGATTAATATTTTTTTTAAACGCATACCAAAGGATGTATACCTCCAAAAATAAGTGTAAGCATGTATGAATTTGTATGTATTTGATTTAGTCATATATTATGTGTTATTACGATTGCACCACCTACGTAGTAAACGTTCCTTTGCGCTATTTCATTAGTTGCTTGGAAAAGATCGCTACGAAGAGACAAGAACGCCTAATTGTGCATTCCGCACATATGTCTATTGTTTTTTATTAACGAAAAACAAAACGACTTCAAATATTTTTTTTTTTTTTTTTTTTTTTATGAGAAAATTTGCAAAACGAACGACGGTTCACCTGATGTTAAGTGAATACCGCCGCCCATGGACATCTGCTAAACCCGAGGGTTGCAGATGCGTTGACAACCTTTTTGGAAATTGGGCTCCGGCCACCTCACTCACCAGACGAACCGCGAAAGTATTATACTTCCACACTTTACGCCGGTCTTCTGTGAGGTCGTGGTACTTACCCGGACGAGCCTGCCCATTCGTGCAACGGCCGAGGCTGCTGCGTGGCCCTACCACCGTAATATCTCGCTGTCATTTTATAATTGATCTTCAGGTGTTCCTTAAGTATCCAATACAAATGAAATTAATACGGGAAGCAGGCACACGGGAAACGCTAGCTAGCTTTCAAATAAAAAAAAGAATCATCAGAACCAATGAATGGTCGAACTCGAGTCAATTGTACCTGCTAATGGTGGGCTCACGAGGAAAGCTTTAAGAAGAGCGACGGAATCCGCCAAGTGGGCAGATCGCCAGCGTTCGATGTCACACGCTGACATGCAACTGAATCCAGGGCAATCCGCACCTGAACGGAGACGCAGTGAATTAACAACAAACAAATCACTAATCCAGGGCTTCTCAAACTTTGGCTCCACGAAACCCCGTTAAAGGTTTAAGAGTGATTTTGGACAAATTGACTCCACGGCGCAGTTGCCGAGCTATGGGCTTCGGCGTCGGGGGCCGTGGGTTCGATTCCCACAGGGGACAACTATTTGTGCGACCCACAGATAGTTGTTTCGCATCTGGGTGTCTGTCCACGAAGTTTATGTTTGTAAAACGTCCTCACAACACAGGATAAAGTAAGGGCAATGTTAAAAAAAAAGAAAACTTAAATCCTAATTCTGTCTTGGTATCAAGTAGATATCTGCATTTCGTTTTTATCACGACGATGTGCTTAAACCTACTCTCACATAAGCATGTTTTAGCGAATAGTAAAAGGACATTCGACGCGTTATGTGAGAGTTCGGGATAGGCAACATTACGTAAATCCTGTAGTAAGATTAGTAAGTATAAAGATAACTACTAATAGATACGAACTATGTATCGTCGATTAACAAACCCCTAGGGGTTTGCGTAAGTAGGAAGCATGATCTTTATTATATTTATCTTGTCAATGGGGGCAAAAATAAACTACAAAATGTTTGAATCATTAAATTTGATGGAGAAACATGGAAGTTATAGGGTTCCGACAAAAAAATGACTTATGAGAAATAAATATTAATAAAAAAAAAAAGATTTTGATGACATTTTCAGAGATTCTTGAGACCAGTTCAGAACTTTTCTATCAACAGACTTCTATTCCCACTATTAGAAAAATATTGTGTGATGAACATATTGTTTTTCCAGTGTCTGGATGTTTATATATGTATTTGTTTACAAAAGAAAAGTTAGTTTAGATATGTTTACCAGTTTTCTAATACCCACAGTACAAGCGTTGCTTCTTAGTTTGGGACTAGAGATCGTTGTGTAAAAATGTGTCCGCAAATATTTATGTTTGTTTATTTATCATCGTAACATACACATAAATATATACCGCGCAAGTGATTTGCTCTAAAGTATATGGACTGCGACCCAATTAAACTCGGCGACAAATAACAATCGTTAATCGTTCAGCTCGGTGAAACATTTCATGGTGACCTATAAAATACTATAAATAAACTTTTCATTAACTTAGGAGCCTTGATAGCTCATTGTCCGGGCGCTCGCCTTTAATTCGATATACTCGGGGAACCCGAGTTCGATCCCCGGTGCCGGCACCGATGAAATTGTTAACTTTGAGCGCTGACTTATCACGTGCACGGCGGTGAAGGAAAACATCCTGGGGAAACCGGCATATCTTCGAAAAAACTGGTCAAGTGCGAATCGGACTACCGCACGGAGGATTCCGTACTTATATATCTGTCTTATTTGTCTGTTGTATGGGAGCCCCACTTACATATTTACACCTTTAAAAAACCCAAATACCTCATTCAAGAGACAAAACGCCAAACTATAGTACTACCACTTCACTTCATTCATTCTTCACTTTATTCATTCATCCCTTCATTCATTCATTCCACATCACGCCGGTCTTCTGTGAGTTCGTGGTATTTCCGGGAAGAGCATGCACATTTCGTGCACAATTCGCGTAAACAGCACAAGTGCTTATCAAAAATCAAAAATATATTTATTCACATAGACGCTTGCGCGTTCTTATGACATGTCAAAAATTTTACATAAAAATTAATACGTTCGTAAGTTACCAGTTCGGAAAGCAGTTTCTGTTGAGAAGAAACCGGCAAGAAACTCAACAGTTGCTCTTTTTTAAAACGATTAGTTTAGATTAGATTATACACGAATTGTGCTTATGCCATTGCATACAAATATCTGCGGGTCACACAAATAACTGTCCCGTGTGGGAATCGAACCCCCGACATCCGGCGCCGAAGACCCTTAGCAACTGCGCCACCTGATTGATTAATTTTCTATCTATAATAGAAATCCTATGGCTATCAAGCACCGGTTAATAGTTCCTCGCTTCAGCAGTCAAACACTCATTACAGAATACTGATAACAATTATTAATTTTTTTGTCGCAAAATAATGTAAGGCAAACCTGTTATTAGTTACGCGTAAGGCCGGCGAGAGGTTTTGACCCTTATTCCCGAGGTTTAAGGCTCACAAAGCTATGGGACCGAGTGTTAAGCTTTTGTGGCAAATTGAACTTTATGCGCGAAAGCATTGGGTGCAAAGTAGATTGGCGATTGTAGATTAGGCTCGTGTCTCACTGGGCCCGGCGCGCGTTTTTTGTGAGCGACTCGATTCACGTGCGATAATAGCCTTGGAACGCCTGCCTGTTAGGTATATCTACTCTCATATACGATGGGACAGAACATTCTCAGGGGCCCACATTTTTATTATAGACTAGCTGTTAACCGCGGCCTCGCCCGCGCGGCCAAAGGGAAATCACAATGAGTTTTTTATTATACACCAGAATATCTCGTAGGTGGCTGAATTTTTTCCTACTTAGTTGACACTCATCATTACCTATATTTTCGACAATTCCCACAGCACATAAATTAAAGACATAAATTAAAGCCTATGTGTTAGATGTATAAGCTATATTATTGTTAAGTTTCATTAAAATGTATTTAGTACCTAGTTTCTGCGTGAAAGTGTAACAAACATCCATCCATACGTATAAACTTTCGCGTGTATAATATTAGTAAGGAAGTGATAACTTCTTTAGGCGCGTTGAGCACTTTTTGGGTGAACAAAAATCATGGTACTCGCGTCATAGTCACCGAACGCTTTCCATGAGCCTTTGAAAAAAAAAAAGGAATACGCAAAAATATTTGCAGTTATGGATAGGACATAAATACTGTTATTATCGTTCGGAGTGCCTATAAAATATGTTGAATTAAATATTATACAACTTTTTTTTTTTAATATTTACAAGTTTGACGCCCGGTTTCCGAAACACTAGATGTCATCTAATCAGCCAATCATCGTAGATGTCAACTAATCAGCCGTCAAATGGCTTTTCAAATCTCATTTTAGTTGCAAAAAGGACGGTTAAACTCTCTAAATTGACCAGAATGATCTTCTAATGATCAGAACGATCAATCCAAAGAGCTTAACCATTATATTTTCAATTTTGGTGGCATTTGAATTTGTTCCCATGAGAATGCCTACTATGTTGTTTCGGCAGTGTGACGAGTGTGATTTCGGGCATAATAATTTCTTGTATTTACGCGATTACACATTATAAATGAAACTAATTTTACGGATTTATCGCGTTTATTTTTAATTTTAATTCCCGACGTTTCGAACCCTTTACAGCGTTCATGGTCACGGGACAGACTGAGGTGTTAGACGTCTGATTGTCATAGTTAACCCGGGCTACCGTCAGTTTTTTTTGAATTATTAATTTTGTGTCCGATCTATGCAGAGGGAGCTAATTGTCTTGTCTTGCAGTAGTGGTTCGTTTGGGCCTAGATTTAATTTTATTGATGACAGGATCCCAAGCTGATGGTAGTACCCAACCTTCTTCTCTATTGAAATTAGGGTGTTTCGTCCTTCGCACAGCTCCCATTTATCCAAGTTACAAGAGTGAAACCAGCCACAGTGGAGCGAGTACCTGCTGTTCTACCATACGTCAGAGGAGTCACCGACAAGATTGGCTATATCTTACAGCAGGCTTCAATTAATACATTCTACAAGCCGCAGTGAGCGAGTGAAAAGAGCTTACCTTACATTCTACAAGCCGCTGAAGAAGATTAGTCAGTTTTTACCATCTGTCAAGTGTAATATCCCTCTGCAAGATCCAGGAGTGTACAAACTTGACTGTGAATGTGGGCTCTCTTACATAGGTCAAACGAAAAGAGCAATAAAAACCCGCGTGAAAGAACATATAGCTGACATAAAAAACAATAGATTGAACAAGTCTGCAGTTTGTGAGCACATTTTAAATAGGCCCAACCACTACATCAGGTTTGACAAACCACAGATCCTTGCAAAAGAACACCGATTCCTCCCAAGGATGATTCCCGAGGCTATTGAAATTAAAAAAACACCCTAATTTCAATAGAGAAGAAGGTTGGGTACTACCATCAGCTTGGGATCCTGTCATCAATAAAATTAAATCTAGGCCCAAACGAACCACTACTGCAAGACAAGATACAATTAGCTCCCTCTGCATAGATCGGACACAAAATTAATAATTCAAAAACTGATGGTAGCCCGGGTTGACTATGACAATCAGACGTCTAACACCTCAGTCTGTCCCGTGACCATGAACGCTGTAAAGGGTTCGAAACGTCGGGAATTAAAATTAAAAATAAACGCGATAAATCCGTAAAATTAGTTTCATTTATAATGTGATTTCAAGCTTTAGCCGGTGCCTACCGCCATATCTTCCTCTTAATTTTATCGTGCTTATTTATAGGAGAAATATTTAGGGAGATATTGTATTAAAAAGATTATTTATAATATGCATTGATTCAGCCAGCTTTACTACGAGTAAAATGAATAGAGATAAATAAGTATTGATTGTGGGACGGCCAACCGACTGTATTTTTTTGTCTTGGTTTGTACATGAGTTATGTTTCGAATAATAATTAAAATTAGGAAACTCTTATTTAAATTGCGAGATACCTATTCTGTATTTCAAAATTTAAACCAATAAACAGCAATTTTGAGTAATTGAAATTCTTTATAGATAAGCAACAACCCATACAATTCCCACTGATGGGCAATGGCCTCCCCTGTACGGAGGGAATTGGCAGAATTCACATGTCGTCAAAATATTTTTTCGTTACTATTTAAAAGATAGGCAGATTTTCTCATGGTACTCGAAATTTATGGTATTTGAACTCGGGTTACTCGAGTGTATTGAGTTAAAGGCGAGCGCCCGGATACTGAGCTATCGCGGTTCCTAATATGGATATAGATTTTATCACGTAAAGTGTAACTTATCACAAAATCCCTCGAAGCGTTCGCCTGTCGATTAAAATGGACACAGCCCCTGATCGGATTTTCGCGAAACACGTTTTTTAATATTCGAAAATACCTTCACTCCTGTCCAAGACACGAGGTAATTTCGGAATGAAACCGGCCCAGTGCGAGTAGGAATCGTGCACGAAGTGTTCCGTACCATCCATACTTCCATACTACTACTACTTTTCTGAGTTTCTTTCGCCGGTTCTTCTCAGTACAGTGGCTTTCTTTTCCGAACCGTTGGTAGTGTTTTGACTATCAATAAGTGAGTGTAATGCTCCTATTTGAATAAATACATTTGATTTTGATTTTGATTTTGACTAATATTATAAATGCGAAAGTAACTCTGTCTGTCTGTCTCGCTTTCAGTCAAAAGCTACAGAACCCATTTAAATGTAATTTGGTACACAGATAGTCTAGAGCCTGAGAAAGGACATAGGCTATTTTTAATTGAAAAAAAAAAAAATGTTGTAAAAGATATTTATTTAAGGGCTTCAACGCGAGCGAAGCCGCGAGGAAAAATCTAGTTATCTATAAAAACGGCAAAAAAAATCATGTCTGTTGTATGGAAGCCCCACTTAAATATTTATTTATTCTGTTTTTTTAGAATTTTTCACAGATCTTCTGTTGCCGCAACAGAAGATGTTTGAAAATTTCAACTGTCTAACTATCACGGTCCATGAGATATAGCCTGGTAACAGACGGACAGACAGACAGACAGCGAAGTCTTAGTAACAGGGTTCAAGTCTTAGTAATAGGGTTCCCATTTTACCCTTTGGGTACGGAACCCTAACAATAGTAAAGGTTTGCGGGACTCTTTTTCTGTTATTTAGCGAAACACTAATTTATTTATACACTTATACAAGTCTATATTTTTATTAACGATAAACAAAATCGACTTCAAGTATCTCGCTATGTATTCATTTTACAGTTGTTTCTCAAGAGTTCCCTAAGTATCTCCGGGGCCCGAGATTCAATACCAACGAAATTAACACGGGACCACGTGGGGAGCACCAGCTCTCAAATAAAAAAATAATCATCAAAATCAGACCATTCAGTCGAAATTTTAAAGTTTTTTTATAGTGCTAATCTCTGCACCTAAGATTGAACATTAAAACGTGTAGAAAAAGTGCGAAAAGATTGTCGCCGCTGTGGGAATCGAACCCACGTCTTCGGCATTCGCGGCCTGACGCTCTAGCCACTGAGCTAAACGGCTGATAGCCACAGCGACGAAAACCTTAACGCCCTCCTTCTACATTGTTATTTAGCATTTGAATTATCGTTGTAAAACGATATTCGAAATTGTTTGTATGCTATGCTGGAAAGGATATAACAATAGATGCGCATTGCTTAAAATTCGATTCCCACAGCGGCGACAATCTTTTCGTACTTTTCCTACATGTTTTAACATTCAGTCGAAAGTTCTGAGGTAACAAACATAAAAAAATACAGTCGAATTGAGAGCCTCGTCCATTTTGAAGTCGTTTGAAAAAAAAAAAAAAAAAAGAACATAAGCTGATGCCACGTACGATATTGCTTTATACAATTACGCGTAACTCAATAGTCAAGGTTTCCGGCGCCGGTCGCCTTCTCACGTCATTTATCTTCGCACTAGTTTACATCTAGGCCCACGCATTTCGCGCGAACAGAAAGTTTCTGTTGCGGAACTTTCTGGGAGTAAACCGGACGGTGTGGTCTACCAGCGAAGCTAATAAAATATAGCAATCAGCGATAAAAACCGGCCAAGTGCGAGTCGGACTGGCGCAAGAAGGGATATTTTTATAGATAATGGTAAGAAGGGAGATTTTTATAGATAAAGTACGGAAACCATTATATATAAAAACAGCAAAAAAAATTCATTTCTGTTGTATGGATCATAAGGATTTTTATGCTGGTTTTCTATTATTTTTTGTTATAGCGGCAACAGAAAAATATATCTAACTAATTATATAGAAATATACATAACTATCACGGTTCATGAGATACAGCCTGGTGATAGACGGACGGACAGACAGACAACGGAGTCTTAGTAATAGGGTACCGTTTTACCGTTTGGGTACGGAACCTGAAAAACCTAATAGTTTTTAATATTAAAAAATTATAATTTAAAAAGTGCTTTGCCCCCGATTCGTCCAATTATAATTTAATGATCCTTTTATAGATCCATTCGTCGAGTGCCTATCTGTCGCACTAATTAATGGGGCCCGGGCTAATTGGCATTAACAAGGTCGAGTCGATTAACTCTTATCGGTGGCGCATTGCCGGTGATTATATACGTATTTACCCGACTAACGAAGGAGGCCGCGAGAGCCGTGATAGCTCAGTGTCCGAGCTCGTTCTTAGGGTTCCGTACCCAAAGTACCCTATTACTAAGACTCCGCTGTCTGTCTGTCCGTCTGTCACCAGGGTGTTTCTCACGCACCGTGACATCTAGACGGTTGAAATCAAAGATGATGTATTTCTGTTACCGCTATAACAAGAAATACTAACAGACATGAGTTTTTTTTTTGCCGTATTTTATAAATAATTGTACTGAACATTTAGTGCGCGAGTGCGACACGCTCTTGGCCGGTTAGACCCTCTTAAGTATTTTTGGATTCTGGTTTTTTTAGTATTTCTTTTTATAGCGGAAACAGAAATACATTGCCTGTGAAATTTTCAACCAACTATCACGGTTCATGAGATACAGGCAGGCGACAGACGGACAGAAGACAGCGGAGTCTTTGTAATAGGATCCCCGTTTTACCCTTTGGGTACGGAACCCTAAAACGAAACTATGGAAGTTATGGCGTTCCGACCATGAAAACCACCTTTGGGAAATCCATACTAATATTATAAATGCGAAAGTAACTCTGTCTGTCTGTCTCGCTATCACGCCAAAACTACTTAACCGATTTAAATGAATTTTGGTACACAGATAGTTTAGAGCCAGAGAAAGGACATGCGCATCGGATCTGGATTTGTTCCCAAGAAGGGTACACGTCAGGCTGGTCTTTTTTTTAATATACCGAAAATATGCACGATGTTTTTACTCTCGCCACTGAGCACGTGATTTTTTTTTTAATGTGAAAGTTGCCAAGCGAGCCAGCGGTTCACCTGATGTTAAGTGAATACCGCCGCCCATGGACATCCGCTACACACGAGGGTTGCAGATGCGTCGACAACCTTTTGAAGATTGGGCTCCGGCTACCTCGCACACCAGATGAAACGCGGTCTTCTGTGAGGCCGTGGTACTTACCCGGACGAGCCTGCCCATTCGTGCAACAGCCGAGGCTGCTGCGTGGCCCTACCACAGTTAACGTGTGAGGTAGCCAGGGCTCTTCCGAAGGATGGCAAAGCACCTTTGCTGCAATCGAGGTAGTAGGCGGCATTGACATTAATCTGTGAACAAACTAGCTCGCTGCGTTGCTATAACAAATCGATATAAACGGCATACCAGGCCGGTTGGCAAAAACAACAAGCGTCGAGTGGATTCGCCATTTTGGGCGCGTGACGTCATACCGCCGAGGACGCGCGAGCGGGACGGCAGCAGACGGCAGCGCCGTCTCTTTCCCTCCGCTCGCGAAATCGTAGTCTCTTTTATACGGGATTTATATAAAATGTTTCCTCGTTTGTCGCGAATTCGGTACAATAGTGAACGTGTGATAACTACGTTGGTCCAACACGCCGGAATGTTATTCTCTTATCATCTCTATATATATGTTATTTCTTAAAGGTGTTTATTCCTCGCCATAACTTGCCATAATTCTTCATCAAATTGAAAGACTCAAACATAGTTTTGAGGCTCATTATGTTTGCCGCGAAGAGTGGAATAATGTTAACTTTAATGTTCTCATAAAATAAAATCTTATAACGAATTTATGATAATGACATGTATTTACGATGTGTATCAAACATAGCGAAGTGTCCTTAATTATATAATTGTTCAAGAAAATAAGATGTCTTTTTAATTGATAAATACGTATTTAGACATTATATGTACCTATTTTTTGTGCACAATTAGAAAAGAAAATATCTTTCTGCACTCCTTGTCGCCTGCTTTGTCCTAAAAAGGGGTACAAAGTTTTTTCTTCATGTATTAATCTTTACTATAATATTATAAATGCGAAAGTTTGTATATATGGATGGGTGTTTGTTACTCTTTCACGCAAAAACTACAGAATAGATTTTAATGAAACTACAATAATATAGCTTATACATCAGAATAACACACAAGCTATCATTTATAGATATATTGTGTGATATATCGAAAATATAGGTGATAAGTGTCAACTAAGTTTGAAAAAATTCAGCCATAATATTCTGGTGTACAATAAAAAACTCATTGTTAATTCCCTTTGGCTGCTTATATTATACTGAACACGGTACCTACTATGCGGAAATTGCGAGCGGCGCGGCTAGTTATCATTGTTATTAAATGGGGTCACGTGCGAATAAGAACCTATTAGAAACGTGTTATTGGCATGAGGTTAAATAAAAAATATATACGGTCGAATTGAGTAACCTCCTTCTTTTTTGAGGTCGGTTAAAAAGTAAAGTAACAGTTAGGGTATCAGGGCATAGTCCACCGCGCGGCCCCACTGCGGATTGGCGGACTTCGCATATCTTCGAAGTACCTATATATTTTTTTGTTATTATTTCGAGAGTATGCTGGTTTCCTCAAGACGTTTTCCCTCACCGCTGAGCACGTAAGTCAGCACTTGAAATTAACAATTTCATTGGTGCCGGCACCGGGGTCGAACTAGGGTCGCTCGAGTATATTGAATTAAAAGCGAGCGCACGGACATTGAGCAATCAAGTCTCGGTTATTGGCATATAATAAACTAGCGACCCGCCCGGGCTCCGCACGGGTGCAATGCTGAATGTTTGTTTTCGACATCGCATTAGATACCTCTAAAATTATCAGTGTTTCTCTACTATATTATGCATGAATTATACGTATAAACCTTCCTCTTGAATCTTTTATAGAAAACCGTATCAAAATCCGTTGCGTATTTTTAAAGGTTATACATATAGGGACAGAAAGACAGCGGGAAGAATTTGTTTTATACTATGTAGTGATATTTCGAATGGATTATTCTCGCAATGTTTTCTTTTTCGACGCAGTACCGGAATTAAAACCCGCCAAGTGCGAGTCGGACTCGTTCCGTACCATAATCTATAAAAACGGCAAAAAACTCGTGTCTGTTGATTCGGAGCACCACTTAAATATTTTTTATTCTGTTTTTTTAGTATTTGCTGTTATAGCGGCGACAGAAATACATCATCTGTGAAAATTTCAACTGTCTAACAATCACGGTTCATGAGATACAGTCTGGTGACAGACGGACAGACTGACAAACCGCAGAGTCTTAGTAATAGGGTTCCGCTTTTCCGTTTGGGTACGGAACCCTAAAAGTTAAATCGTAAATGCTACATCATACTTACAAACGTTCATGTCAGCACAGTCAGCGATTAATACAACTTCTACTGTATCATAGTCTCTGATTATTTTATCTTTCCATTGCGTGACGACTTATTACATTCAATCGATAAAGCGACTAAAAAACTTGTCCATATGGGCGCGATTACATACTGCTTCGGCTCTTGGGCAGCGTAAATCCCCAACTACAACTGTAAATTGATAGCGACAATGCTTCCGTACATATTAAATACGTGAAGCGAAATCTTTGCACCTAACCCTTTTTACGAAAATTGCGCGAACGGAGCAGTGTGAAATTTCTCACACCTATAGATTATGTAGAGGAGTGAAGGTGTTTTTTTAATTATGCATAAAAAATACATATCCATATAGCAAACATTACACACACTACCATGTATTTGCCACGCACACGCATATACATTCTTTTGTTTATTGTATTTGAGAATAGGTTAATAGTGTTCAAAATTATAATCTTATCCTTTAAACGAGCAATTCTTGTATATATATATATATAATCGGAATCTCGGAAACGGCCAGCGATTTTCATGAAATTTAGTATGTGCATACATTCGGGGGCGAAAAATCGATCTAGCTAGGTTTCATTTTTAGAAAATGTCCTTTTATCCCTGTTTTCAAGGAATTAATAATATAATTCGAATGTGACGGTAAATTTCGCCGCAAGAGAAAATGTCATAATAGCTCGGTCGGTAATCGGGCGACCCCAAAACAGACGGCCATGGTTCGCGTCGCGATCATTTACACATTTATTTTTTTACTTTTTTTTCGATTCCAGATCATTGCTTTCTTTATTTTTAATTTTTTGTCGATTTTTTATTTTATAAATTTGTGTCCGTTTTTTTTTAAGTTCTTTCATTTGTGAAAAACATCAGTACATATTTTCTTATTATTACGTCGGTAAGATCGAAAAACATTATGCATATTTCATTACTCAGTAATTTGTATCTAAATGTAATTTCCAAAATACACGATTTACCAAAAAAAAAAACCGAGTAAAGCTCGGTTCTCCGGGTACTTTAAATTAATTACGGTCGAATTTCGACCACTCGCCGTCCAAACGTGCGAGAGTATTTTTATTATTATTATTACCCTGGGGGATATTTAATTTCTCATCTGGTTGGGTTCATGAATAAAAATGAACATAGTACAGATTTATACTGTATGTAATGAATAATAATTGAAGGTTGTAGGGTTGTTTATACAAAAATTATGGTCAGGTCCGTCCGGGTAAATACCACGATCTCAGAGGAGATCGGCGTGAAGTGGAAGTTTTACATTTATTTTCTGCGTTTCGTCTGGTGAGTGAGGTAGCCGGGGCCCACTTTATCAGTGGTCAAATGGTGGCAACGCTACGGGTGTTGCAACTGATAATATAAATACATATAAGTATCCCCCCCCCCCCCCCCCCCCCCTCGATGGAGGATGACGAAACGTTTACACATTATACACATAGAAATTACCTTAAAAAGTAATTTTCCATATTAATTATCAATTAACAAATGTTTTTTATCGTCATCGATGTGGACACGGCGTGAGCAATCGATTAACATATTGGCAACCTCCGATCATTACGCAATAGAAAAACAAAGCGGCGACCCGACTGGCGTAGTGGGTAGTGTGCCGGGGAGGGCCGCTAGTTTATTTATATTTACAAAAGATAAGTATGTTTATTAGTGAGCCGTGATAGCTCAGTGTCCGGGCGCTCGCCTTTAATTCAATATATACTCGAGCAACCTGAGTTCGATCCCCGGTGCCGGCACCAATGAAGTTTTTAACTTTAAGTGCTGAATTATCACGTGCTCCGCGGTGAAGGAAAACATCGTGAGGAAACCTGCATATTTTCGAAATAATAACAAAAAAATATTTTTAGAAGATATGTGAAGTCCGCCAATCCGCAGTGGGGCCGCGTGGTGGACTATGCCCTGATACCCTCTGTATAGAGGGTATCAGGCCAGCCTTTGCCCAGCAGTGGGACATGTATAGGCTGTTACTTTACTTTACTTTTTTTTTTATTAGTGATCTAGTACCTATACCTATAGTACAAGCGTTGCTTAGCTTGGGACTAGACTTAGACTTGGGGTTGCAGTACGCAGCAGCCTCGGTTGTTGCACGAATGGGCAGGCTCGTCCGGGTAAGTACCACGGCCTTACAGAAGAAGGTAAGTGGAAGTATAATACTTTCGCGTTTCGTCTGGTGAGTGAGGTGGCCGGAGCGTAATTCCCAAAAGGTTGTCAACGCATCTAGAACCCTCGGGTGTAGTACATGTCCATGGGCGGCGGTATTCACTTAATATCAGGTGAACCGTCTGCTCGCTTGGCAACTTTTGCACATACGTTGTTTAACGTTGCCACCGGGTCATCACGGTGGATGACGCAACTGCTCGATCCTTAGCAGTTGAAGAGTGTACGACAGTCCCTCGGAGATTCGAACCAGCCGCAAGTATATGTATACTACAGCCGCTGATCCACTGGCTCCAATTTGCATACAGGACACGTGGTTTAAGGCGTCCGGCGCGACAGCATACAATATCGTCAGATATTTTCCTCCAACCACGCTCATGGGTATTACCAGAGGTCTAAAAACGAAAAGGTGGTCGTGTTCCCTAATCATTTTCTAAGTTTCCGATACTAAAAAATAAAGGCCAAGTGCGAGTCGGACACGCCGCACGAAGGGTTCTGTACCATTAATCTATAAAAACGGCAAAAAATCATGTCTGCTGTATGGGGGGCTCACATACACTTACTTGAATATTTTCTGTTTTGTTGTAATCTTATCCTTTAAACGAGCAATTCTTGTATATATATAATACCCGGAGGACATAATTTTTATATAAACAACCCTACAACCTTCAATTATTATTTATTACATACAGTATAAATCTGTACTATGTTAATTTTTATTCATGAACCCAACCAGATGAGAAATTAAATATCCCCCAGGGTAATAATAATAATAAATATACTCTCGCACGTTTGGACGGCGAGTGGTCGAAATTCGACCGTAATTAATTTAAAGTACCCGGAGAACCGAGCTTTACTCGGTTTTTTTTTTGGTAAATCGTCTATTTTGGAAATTACATTTAGGTACAAATTACTGCGTAATGAAATATACATAATATTTTTCGATCTTACCGACGTAATAATAAGAAAATAGGAACTGATGTTTTTCACAAAAGAAATAACTTTAAAAAAAAATGGGAAAGAAATAACAAAATAACAAATCGACAAAAAATTCAAAATAAAGAAAGCAATGATCTGGAATCGAAAAAAAGTAAAAAAAAATAAATGTGTAAATGATCGTGACGCGAACCACGGCAGTCTGTTTTGGGGCCGCCCGATTACCGACCGAGATATTATGACATTTTCTCTTGTGACGAAATTTACCGTCATATTCGAATTATATTTTTCATTCCCTGAAAACAGGGATAAAATGACATTTTATCCCTGTTTTCGGGGAATGAAAAATTTGTGATTTTATTATTTTGTTTCCCTTTTTTTTAAAGTTCTTTCTTTTGTGAAAAACATCAGTTCATATTTTCTTATTATTATGTCGGTAAAATCGAAAAAATTATGCATGTTTCATTACTCAGTAATTTGTATCTACCTAAATGTAATTTCCAAAATACACGATTTACCAAAAAAAAAAACAAACCGAGCAAAGCTCGGTCCTCCGGGTACTTGTCGTTAAAGCGGCAACAGAAATAATTCATCTGGGAAAATTTCAACTATCCAACTGTCGCGGTTCAAGTGATACAGCCTGGTGACAGACGGACAGACAGACAGACAGACAGCGGAGTCTTAGTACTAGGGTACCATTTTACCCTTTGGGTACGGAGCCCTAATAAAACCTCCGATTTTGCCGATCGAGATGCGGAGCACCGGAAATAATTGGATGTAATATTTGTTAGTATGTAATTGCAAACTCCGTGCGGCGTTGGTGCGCGAAACTGTATTAATACCAAGCGATATCGGCTTAATTAATTCATGCCCGCTATTATCTGTCCTGTGGATATTTTCCTCGTCGTGTCGTTGGAGAATTTTCCGTTTGAAAATATCCAATGTTGTACAATTTGTCGTATACGTTGTTTTACCTCACAACGTGGCTCATCAACATGGTTGTGTCGTGTCAGACAGGTGTTACCAATGATATTCTAACATACAAAAACGAGGTAGATATGACACTGTCGCGCCGAAACTGTGGCGCCCAAATATATACGGCACTTGTTGGTATTGATTAATCTGCTATAGCCTTCCGTATCATACGTCACATTTTGTCACATTCAATATATATAAATCTTTATATATATATATATAATTCTTTTGTACGTGTGTATGTCACTGAACTCCTCCTAAACGGCTGGGCCGATTTTAAAGACATTTTTTGTGTCGATTGCGAAATGGTTTAAATTCACAATTTTTTTTTTGTTTTTATTTATAAGTTGTCGTATACATATATGTCTTGTGTACAGAACAACGTCTGTCGGATCCGCTAGTATTATACAGGGTGATTTTTTAGACGAAGTACATACTTTGACATTATGTTCATTGAGCATTCTATAATTAAAAATATATAAATATTTTATTTTGACAACAAATAACCAGAAAAATATTAATTCGAACATTGTTTGTTTATCCCGTTAAGAGTGGTCACCCTGCAGTCTGCAGTCTGTAGGTATACGCATGTAGTATAACTTGAAACGTGAAATTATTATTATTTTTTTTTTTATGCCAAAAGTTGCCAAACGAGCAGACGGGTGGTCTTCTGTCAGAATGAAATTAATGACGCAGTAGAGGAAAACATTTTGAATTTTGGATGTTATAAGACAAAAACAAACAGCGAACAGCAAAGGCACAGTGAGATCAGCGGTTAGGTTATTGTATTGAGATGGTAAGGCAGGAATTTCTAATAAGGTGTCCATAATGTTTGAAAAAATTAAAAATAATCTTTAAAAAAAAAGAGAAAATGATAATTAAAAAAAGTTCACAAGTACGTACTAGATTCAGATTTGGAATCAAACTCTGCATATGCTCTGTTAATATGTCCGTCGTCTATAAAACCATCCTGTATATATTATGTAATATCTACAATGATGTTTAATAATAGTTTATAGATGACGCATGTCCATATTTCGCGGCGTTTAAAAATTGTTCCGCTTTACATTATATAACATATACAAGTGAATGTGACAGATCATATAGAACGTATGATTAGGAAAGAGATGTCAGTCCATAGAATTGCAATAAACTTACACCAATTGGTGCCTCAATGTCACATCTTTGTATACATATAATAGCTCTGTATATCTTCCTATATATTTATTTTTCATTTTCAATAACCCTAAGCTTACACATGCGTTGCCTTTCAATAAAGTGGGCCTTGGCTACTACATTCACCAGGCGAAACGAAACACTACCACTTCGAGCTGGTCTTCAGAAAGTGAGGTGGCGGCAACTGGTGCAACGGCCAAGTGTGCATGGCCCTATCCTACCTCCTATGAGTCGGTCGATGCTGTTGAGTGGCCCTACCACATTTGCAGCCCGGTTTTTCAATAGAAAAAAAAAAATCTTTCAGGACATATGTACACACACAATGCCATGTAGTCTAAAACTAGGAAAGGTTATACTATAGATACTGGGTAACTGAGAAATTACTCAAGCATACTTTTCTTTTCAAAGCCAAAGTCAAGAATGCCCTTTTTTCTAAAGTCTTATTCTAACGCAGGCGCACAGGGCTATCATTGCATAGTAACAAAGAAAGTAAACTAAGTCTGTACAAGTTCAACTCAGAAAAAGCCACCTCTGTACAGCACCACATACAGAATATATATTATAGAAATACTAGCGACCCGCCTTACAGATAAACCTTCCTCTTGAATAACTCTATCCAGTTAAAAAGACCGCATCAAGATCAGTTGCATAGTTTTTAAGATCTAAGCATACATAGGGACAGACAGACAGCAGGGCAACTTTGTTTTATACTATGTAGTGATGCACAGCAAAGAGACGTTTACATTTCAAGTGATATTTTACCACAGTCACTCAATTGTTTTACCTTCCCGGAGCCCCTCCACTAACACTTAAACTTTATGGTATGGTATTAATTATGGTATGGTATCACGGCTCGGTATGTCACTTTAAAGTTACTCAATACATTATGTTTATAATAATTAAAAAAAAAAAAACAAATATGTTTTAAATTCTTCCTAGCTACAGTGCCATCTACCACAGAGGACCACAAAATCTCTGATGGGCCAACAAAATATAACATAATGCACAAATAAATTTGATAGAATTTAGGATTAAATATTTTGTAATTTTATATTACTTATATACTTATTACTGATTCATTATGTTATAAGCAGGGAATAACTAGTTAATTAAGACAATTTTATGGTTCTAGAAGAAAATGTGTACATCAGGTCATATAATAACAATAACAATCCAAGAATATAATAATTGGCGCCAAATACTTTATTTTTCCGTTAGTGCTGTTATTAAATTGGTAAATATACCTGACATTTGAGCACACCGCATATTGCGCACAAAATATTTTTAAAACATAACTTTTTATTCGTGATTCAACTAAAAGATAAGACTAATAGATAAACCGAAATGACAAGATTCCGAAAGAGCATATAAATAACAAACAAAGTGCTAAAAATATCTAATATAATAATATTAAATAATAATTTTATCGTAATTACATTTTATTGCAATCCGTAAGGAAAATGTAGGCAATGAATTATTAATTTGGGGCACATACCTCATCTGGCTATAATAGTATATGGGATGGAGAGTCTTCGACCATTTCCATAATTATGTTGTTTGTCACTGTACCATTGACACAAAACTCACTGCAATCCAGTTAATATCCAAACAAAACGTAATATGAAACACCAGATTTATTTAAAATATTGCTAACTTGTTTTGTTTGCTTGCCACACAATCTACTCCACGCAAATAAAATTGACATCTCCAGTCTACAGCAATACGTATAACGTCATAGATTAGCGATGTGCGACTCGAGTTAATTGACTCGAGTAACTCGAGTCAAACCTTAAACGAGTCAACTCGAGTTCAGTTTTAAGCAACTCGAATCAACTGGGTCGTCCGAACGCAAGCCGGACGCGGGGGCCTCACGAGTTGTTCCGAGTTACACACGCGGCTCGCGCGCGGGGTTCGTTAGGCGTTGCAACTCGCATCAACTCGAGTTGAGTGAAATGTAAAGTTACGTTTCACGCGCGCGCGCCGTACGTAAGGTGTTGCATCTTACTCGCATTAACTCGAATAGAACTCGGGCTTGAGTCGGGCTCGTTCGGCTAGGATCGGAGACGGAATTGCGCAAATGATAAACCGCTTTAAAAGTTTTTTTAACTTTATTTTCGATAAACAATCGACTATGTACAATTACATTTTATAAGTACACGATTCAACATCATTATTACTTCCTATATCATTATTACTCGTGCTCTCCGAATTGGCCGAGTCGTATTTAAATATTATTACGAATCTTTTGTATGGGAATATAGAAAAGTGTTGTTTTTAGACTTTTTCACGCAA